ACAGCACGGAAGCGGAATGTAAATGAGAACAGAATTGTACGTTGGCCGCACCCATTGCTATGTTTGATGTCGTTGGTTATTCGTACTGACCGATGTCAGCCTTTGAGTGAGATCTTCACGGCATCTCATAATCAAGGAGACCGCAGTCGTAATGTCAGCCCCGCCCGTTCACCCGTCAAACCTACCGCTGCGCCTATCACAACTGCGCCGTCGGAGCCAAAAGTCTCCCCAATCAAGACGAAGGACGCCGCAGAGAATATCTCGCAACCTCACTATCCTGATTTGACCCAGAACTTGAACTCGTTCCCCCAGCATAACACCGATTCGGGCTACCATGGCATGCCAGACGATGAAGGGGAGGATCATGACGATGATGTGGTTCTCACCCAAGTGCAGTCGGAGACACAGACTTCCACCCAACCTCTCGAAGACGAGCCCGTAACCGCCAATGAAAACCAAAACCAACCACATCGACAGTCTGTTGATCGTCGTACAACAGCTGCTTCATTTCATTCGGCTCAGGAAGACGTACGCCAACGCGGAGAGACGGTCGAGCCTATGGAGGAGCCTTTGGAGGCTGTCAACAATGAGACGACACCAAAACAGGAAAAGATGGCTTCTTCCACGCCTCAGCCAGAGGAGAAGCAGCCGGAAGCATTCGTCGTGGCTGATTCGGCAGCAGAGGAGGAGCCCGAGGCCGAGGTCGAGCCCGAGTCCAAGCCACAGGCGGAAGCACAAACATCGCCAACCAAGTCTTCTCCAATGAAACAACCAGCAGCTCCGGTGGAAGAAGAGATGCATGAAAAAGACGATACGCCTCTTGACTCCCTGGATGACATCGGCACGCCTTCGGACAACTCCACTCCGGAAAGACCTCCCATCCGCAAGAGCAGTCTGAGCTTTGCATCGCTCCCTGCACGGGAGCCACTGTTGAAGAAGAGCCTGGGTGGCTCGAGAATCTCTCGCACAAGCCACATTGATATTGCTAGAGTGAACAATGCTGCAGGTCCTAGTTCATTTGGTCGGCAAACCGGTGGACACAAAAATACTGCTGTGGATGAGGAGGCGGCGCCGGATGACGATATGGACATTGACGAAGGTAGAAGAGGTGCTCAGCAACAAGATGATATCGAGGCAGAAGCAGACGCCACAGCTAGCAAGGCCCATACCAAGTCTTCCACTCAGAGACTTCACGAAAAGATTAGCATGCTTGGCAAACTTCAACCCTCGCGGCCCACGAAGTCCATCCCATCCGCTTCAGGCCTATCCTCTGCTCATGTTGCTTATCCCGAGCTCCCAGCAGCCAATGCAAAGTCAGAGGTGCTCAATCAGGAATCTCGCGAACCGTCTGCACCGGAGCCTATGGCAATCGACGGGGACGACTGGATCAAGCCAATAGAGTCTCCACAGAAAGCACATGCTCTTAGAAGCCCGAAAATGGAAGTGAAGGTGAAAGAGTCAATGAATGAAACGAGTCGCGCATATAGTGAGAAAGCTTCGGTACCACGAACTCAGAATCGGAGCGACGCGGAGGCGGCGAGAGCCAGCAACCGAAACGTCACAGAATCGACACGTGAAAAGTCTTCAACGCCAGCTTATTCTTCACCCCAACGGCCTACCCATCAGAAGAGTGCGTCAGTGTTCAATACGGGCCATCACTCTTCCACAACACCAGTGGGCTCCCCGGCCGCTGAGCGTCATGATGGCCCTCTGAGCGCATCCAAGTTGAAACTTCAGTCTATCATGAGATCTGCCAAAGGTCTGTTTACGAACACCGGCAGTGTGACAGCCGCAGCAAGATTAGAAGCGTCCTCGCCTGATGAACTAGGGTTGCATTCGTACAATCGTGCAAGCGGTAATACTGCTCGTGAAACACACGATCGTCGGCCGGTCCAGATATCTAGTCCTCTCCCTCGACAAGAAGGGCGCAGAACGCGAAGCTCGACTGAGAGGGAAGAGAAACGCAAGCAAAAAGAGCTTGAAGATCGTCGCCGAGAAGAGGAGCAGGCGGAGAAAGCACGGGCAGATGAACGCCAGAAAGCTCTTCAATTGAAGATCGCTCAGGAAAGGGCGCGCATGGAAGAAGAAGAACGTAACGCTCCTCCTTCGGCAGCCGCCGCTCCAGCCAGCTCGACGAAGGCACAGCAGCCGCTGCAGAGACATCAATCCAGAGAGCCCGAACCCAGCCACGAAACTGTTTCTCGAGCACCCAGCCGAATGTCCGTCTCCCAACAGCAGCCAAAGCAGAACGATCGGCGCCCTGTCAAGCCCACTCGTGAAGTTCTCCAGAAACCCAAGCCTCAGCCCGTCTCTATTCGAGTCGGCAGCGCGCTTTCGCGCCAGATCCCCCTGGCATCCACTTCCGTGGCGTCTAGCGGTCCGGAACCCAGTGCTTCTGTCGCTGCACCACCCTCAGCTTCCAAGCCGCCAACTCTCAAGAAGAAGGCAAGCAATTCTTCTTTACATACCGCCGCTTCAAATAGCAGTTTCAAGAGTTCAGTCTCAAGCCAATCGCAGCGCAAGGTTCAGCTTGCAAATGAGAGGAAAAGGGAGCAGGAAGAAAGAGAGGCGCGCCGCAGGGAAGAGCAGAGACGTGAGTTGGAACGCAAGCGAGCTGCTCAGCAGCAAGAAGAAGCGCGACGCCAGGAAATGCGCAGCCGAGCAGAGGCCGAACGCCGGGAGAGGCTTGCTGCTGAGGATGCGAAGAAGGCCGCCCAGATACAGGCGATCGAGAAGCGGCGACAGGAAAATGCACGGAGATTGGAAAGGCAGGGCAGTCAACAACCTACGAGCGAACGAGTAAGTGAATCTCGCGACGCGGCTTTGAATCTATGCTGATGCTCCATGTACTTTAGGCTTCAATTGTCCAGCCAGAGAGACCTCTTTCACAGGCTGCCAGACCCGCGTCACGGCTTGGATCCATTCAACCTTTCAGTCGGACGATCAACCCGCCTCAGCCCAATCCGGCAAAACCACCAAAGAGAGGGCTGGACGAGGAAGCCAGCTACCGTCCCGCAGCTATGAAGACCAATACCGTCCAACCTTCCGGGGAATCTAAGCGCAGGAAGACGGAAGACGAACACAACCCTATGTCAGCCATTCGACCCACAATGGCCCCGCCCATCAGGCAGTCGGGGATCCGCAAGGTAGGCTCCCGCCATTCTCGAATCAATTTGGTGGTGGTTGCTCATCTCGTATTTCAGGAATCCATGAAACCTCCCATGTATGGCCACGGACAGACTTCTACGCATCAACCAGGCTCTTCGATCTTCAAGACCGCCCAGCCTCAGAGACCAGCTCATCCCATGGATATGGCAAAGTACGCAAGCGGCAAGATACCCTTCGCAGAACCAAGCAATGCCGCATCTCAACTGCCTGGGCATAAGACTCCAGGCGCCAGCTCGTCTCAAAGGGCACCGGCGAAACCATCTCCCAACTATCCCAACGGCGAGAACATTCATCTTCCGGAGATTGCTACTGATAGTGAGGATGAAGACTCGGATGCGGAGATGCTCCCCGTGCCCAAGTGGGCTCAGCCTAAGGAGCTCGAGAACATCCTTCGCCAGCAGGAAGGCATGGAGGCGGACTCGATCTTTGGTCCCATCGCTCCGTTCTCACTGGAGGATACATTCAAGGCGGACAAGAAGATCAAGAAATTCCGTGAGCGTACCAGTAGCGCCAACTGGTCTGGTGCCGATGGACTGACCCAAGAGGAAATCCGGCGTGACCTCGCCGAGCGTCAACGGCTGAGGCTCAACGGCGGCTGGTCCTTTAACTCATGATTTCTGCCCCCATTCTTATCTTGGTCGGGTATTTCTTAAATCTTTATGTTGAGGTTTGCGTTGCTAGCGACAGCTGAAAACTGGAAGAAATTGGGTGATTGGCATACCTGGCGGCGTTTGCGGGTCGTTGATATGCTATTAGCTTTGTAGTTGCATTATTGGGAACATAATTCAAGCATTTAGATTTACACAATTATGGATGAGTTTAGGTATTTCAATGTAGTCGCAGGCATTGGTTTCTTCCACCTGAGTACAATACTTGTAGTCCATTCTGTCCAGTCCATTTGATTGATATATATATTGTATCTGCTGTTGACGACAACATCGTTCAAACGACTGCAAGGTGGGACAGACGGGCAAACAAGACAGAGAACGAACAAAAAAGCAGTAAACAAAGAGACATTACAATAAATCAGAAAAGACGAAAAGAGGCTGAACAAGAATAAACTTGTCATGGATGGTCAAAAAAGAAGAATGCATCATCCGTGAATCGAACACGGGCCTCGTCGATGGCAACGACGAATTCTACCACTAGACCAATGATGCTAGTTGTTGACCTTACTTTCTTACTGTGCTATATAATGCAACACGTGCCATAGTCCCTCAATTATTGCAAGAGGTCCAGCATAGTGAGGGAAAATAATGAAGAGCAACGTACAATCCACGATATTCGAGACCAACAGGGTTATATTTAGGTGGCCATTGATGCACAGGGATTCTAAATGTGTGTTTAAGGGTCGAGAGAAGCATCGTCTACTATCTAGTTGGTCCCACTGGAGGATCTAGGAAATATATACCCGCCACAGACTCTTCGTGAAGCCCTAAAGAGTTAGAGATTTAGCAACAGCAGATGGCTTTACATTGGATTTCTGTACCTTCAGGTTTCTGATATCAAGATGAAGTCACTTATGATTTTGAGCCGCTACATTATACCAGGAAAGTACAAATCAAGAGACTTTGCTATGAGATATTCGGATATAATTTCTGGGTTCCATATTCTGACACGTACAATCACAGGCTGTGGAAAACAGGGCTTTCTATCCAATGTATTTATTACCACTGCAGGGCAGAGGCTCTTCCTTGCCAATATCGGTCAATCGACGTCCGGGTCTTTAGATAGATATGATGAGTGGGCTGTCGTCCGTCTCTTCGCAGATCCTTGAAGGAAATGGTAACCAGGCGTGGATAGCATTTCGATCCTTGTTAACCACAGGCAATTCAAGAAAGCACCAGGGTGTATGCTAGTCCTGCCGCCAAAATCTCAAGTCGACCATTCATGAGACCTTTGCCTTGGTAAGTGGCAGCGACCACGCGACTTTGGAACGGAATCGACTTCGAGCATAACTCGCAAGGGTCTGTAACAACCAGCCCGCGCGTCTGGAGAAGGAGGGCACTTGGATGGCCTCGTGAGTTGAGTTTCTTCTCGTTAAGCTCGCCATTTGTGTTCGTGGCCAACCCTGTGTCCCACCCTTGATCCATAAGTTTAACGACGCTCATATCGGTTGCGGTCAGCTTGCCATGGAACGCAAGACACTGCGGCGACCTGACGAAACGTACGGATTCGCAGTGTTGATGGCGCCCGACACACTGCCGATATTTGGTCGAGGTGGTGTCCTCCATGCGGCAATCAATTTCAAAGGCCTGACCGTTGTTCGTGTCGAAGTTCTTGCTCGCGGCCCACAAACAGGCCATGCACCAGAAACGCTTGCAGAGGATGGTGAAGGGATCATTAGCTACTAAGGAGGAGTACGCCTACTATTCTCTGTGGACGAATCGGAAGTTGAGCTTTGCTGTGCTCTTGGTGGTCGTCATTGAGATTTGTCTAGCATTAGATACTGTTGCGGCGTGGTCCTTCTTTGTACACGGCTGTATGATCTCTTGAATAGAAATCCTTCTCCAAGCTGGTGTGTAGATCTCGGAAAGCTTTTCCTTGGATGAAAGAACAGCCTCGAACCGTGGATTGATCCACGACGTGGACTTGATAACGGTATTCCAGCAAATCGCCAGAACAAGCGAGTGGACGTCTGTATAGGACTCGGTGGAGAACATGGCGTTGCCATGGTGCCAGAAGAACCAGAAGAAGACCAGAACTTGGGACGACAGACTCTATATGTGCTGAACCACGGAGTGTTTTTGGCAAGTGCTAAAATGGAAAGTGCGATAAGGGACCAGAAGGGAAGGAGGGACCATAACGAAAATGCCAAGCTGTTTGTATATTCAATGTCAGCGAGGGCCATTGCTCCGATATCAATGTCTTCACTGTCGTCTTCTTGACAGATTTCGAACAAACCTACCGGATACACCAAGTTCATTTCCGACTGTGTATAGCTCAGTCTCATCATGAAATGGGACTTCGTGGGTGATTCCAGCTTCTCGGAAAACTTGGAAAGCGTCTCTCGTGAATGAATGCCATTCAGACATGAAGGTGAGGGCAAGACAGTCAGAGTCATAGACCTTTCGTCTCTCATTATGGCTGCTGATCCTCTGTGTTGGCATCAGCTTGATCACTATGGACGCCCATCATCTTTGACTATACAGCCACTTTGTTCATCCTGATCTGAATTGACCTGGGACTTAGTGCTCCAGACGTCTAACTGACAGAGACAGACTGGCAGAGACAAGCCCCATTCTTCGCTGCAACACGTTTCCCCACCAGATCCATTGCCGGATTCCATGGCTTTGGGAAGTAATCCATGACTCTCTTTCCTGCGTTGTACTTTGCTTTCGAAAACCATACGTTCTCCCCCTCAGTGGGCACTGGGTAGTAATGTGCCGATGTAATCTTGCGTCCCTCTTTTGATGTAATAGGAAGGTTCGCGTGAAAGGGATCTTGCCTGCTGTCGGCCTTATTCGTAGTATGTGGTTTTTGCCTATTACTATGTTAGAAAGCACACGCCCCACAAACGATAATGCATACTTTATTTCAGCTTTGGCTGCTTCTCTGGCAGGGCAAGGAATGATCTGTGCTGTATTTACACCGGCAGCCTTCATTGAGGTGAGATGGTCTGTAATAATGCCCCGCGCAAGTTGGTGTAACTTGCTGTGTGTCAAGCCGAATGGTATGTCGGCAAGGACAAGTCTCCCATCTGGTGGGAGGTATTTGAAAGTTTCCCGAAGGATCTGCATAGTGTTACAATGCCATCTAGGGCACAGTGTCAGTGTGGCGCGTACATTGCCGGAATCTCCACGACACACAGGCCGGTTAGTAGTTGGACCTGCCACCTGTTGGCAGATCCGGATGTCAGGACACCATCCTTATTAGGAGGTGGTTGTATCAATAAATTTGATGGCTCAACCAGGACGCAATGGCCTACATTAACGGGGTCCGGGACTGTCCATTGCAACAAGACGTCGCCAGCCGCGATGCGCTCTGGACCCGTGTTCGAACGCAATTTTAAAATTGCCGAATATGGCCTCTGCTGGGAGCGCATCCGGAGCTGCCGCCGCGCCGTCATTTCGGTCGGAGCCAAGATGGGCACCGTCATCGCCGGGGCCATCGCGGTGTTCCTCTGGGGGTGACCTTTGGCTTTCTTACTGCCCTTGATTTGCTTCCAGAAGAAGCGATCCAGTTCCGAACCGAGATTAACTTCCAGAATGAGGAAATGGATGGCTCGACATGTCCAGTCGAGTAACTAGACAGCAGCCGAGTCGAGTCGTAGCGATGTCAGGGATATCACATCACATCCCAGTCTTGACTTCAAGCCACGATATCTGGGACATCGTGTACTCCGTAGTATGTCAGAAATACCAGATCCCAGATCACATTGCTGACAACATGAGCGTTTGCTGCAGTAACTCGTAACTCATAACTCTAGAGCCGGAAGTCGGTCAAACCTGGTCATTTAGAGGAAGTAAAAGTTGTAACTGGTATTCAAATGTGCATTATTTGTGGTCAACAAGTAGTTGGAGAAGTGATAATGTCTTACAGAAGGTGAGTGAGGAGCCCATTAGACAATACCTTAAGCATGTTGGTAGTAAAGTTAGAATATTCTGCTCATTCACTGCCTTTAACTTTGCTAGTGAATTTCCTGCTTTTGGGTCGACGTTTGTGAATACCTCTACGCCCCGGATAAGTGGATAGTCAACAGAGACCACAGCTAGGACTTGCCTAGAGCATCGAGAATCCCGAACTAATGTAAGTCCCCAGATGAGACGTCTATATCCAACGTGCGTCCGTTTGGTTTTGGTATCTTTATGATATCTGCAAGAAGTATACAAGGGCCGAAACCCTATCTACACATACATACATTGTGCTCAGTAGGACTCAATCCTACTATGCACTGATAGTTACAAGCCTGTCCAGACCATTTCAATCGACCTCTGGCTCAACGTCACTGACCTCCTCATACGCCTCGTCCATGGCGTCTGGATTGAGATTGGCTGCGTCGGGGGTGATGCCATCCTTGTGCCTGTCTCTGTCATGGGATACCGTGCGCCACCCAAGTGGCTGAGACGGGTCTTTGATGTATTCGGACATGGGGAACTGTCGCCGGAGTCAGCTAATATCCAAAAGAGGGAAAGAGATAACCTACGTAATGATCGTTCTTCTTCATCGTTACAACCCATGGCACGTTGTCAAAGGTCACAGCACGCAACCGGAAGTATGTATTGTCTGGAATTTTGCTGACCTCCCCGACGAAGCTGTCAAGGTTCGGCGTCGTAACACCATTCACGGCGGTGATGAAATTCGTCGGTGCAAGGCCATACTGATAGGCTGGGGAACCGCGACTCTGCAGAAAGTTAGTGCCACCACTACATTAAGGTGCAACGTTGAACATACCCTAGCACTGACATACACCTCGCTGTGCAGCTTGGAAATTTGCTGACGTACGGCGTGGTGCGGCTTCTGCAGCACAGCACCGCAGAAGACAACGGCACGGTCGGTCTCCAGGTCCTCGGTAGGTACCGTCGGTAACTTGATATGCATCTCCTGTCCGTTGCGCACGATAAGAGCGTCAAGGACCTCCTTCTCATACATTTTGTCTAATTCAGAGACGCGAGTAATGAGTTGACCGTCCAAGGTCAAGATGATGTCCCCTTCCTGTAATGCGTCCGCATTGGACGTAAACTGCGGCGGAGGACAGTCGACTTTGCGCACCATGAAGAGTTGGTGCCGCGCCGGATTCGCCTGGGCTACCTTCTGGATCCACTCCTCCGAAACACCCATGATGCGGGCCTGACTCATCTGAACCACATAGCTCTCCATGTTGAGGATCCGCAGCTTCGGAATGATCCCCTGCTGGATCTTGGATGTAACGGGCAGGAGCGCCGGCGTGGCGAAACCGAGATGGTATTCCACATCCTTGTGAGAGCTCGGGGTGCGCTCTCCCAGATAGTTGAGCCACAAAGCCTGGACGACTCCATCCTCCCTAATCAGGACACCGTTCGTGCACTGCCCGCTCAGGCCCGTGTCAACCGTGATGGCATCCAGGTTGATCGCACGGTAGCGCGGCGCCGACGCATTCGCAGGAATCGAGACGGTGGTGATGTCGGTGACGGCAGTCTTGGCGACCACGATGCGGAAGTTCTGATTGAAGCCCACGAAGATGGTCTCCTGGCCCTGCTTGATGTACTCGGTGCTCAGCTTGGCGCTCTGAACAGGAGCCTGTACGAGACTGGGGTCGTATTGGATGATGGTATAATTCTGTAGAGGATGCAAGAAGATAACCTTGGCCGCGACAATGATCGAATCGGCCACAGTGATGTTGATGTCACAAAGGTTATAGGGAACAATGGCTCTGGACACCACAACCAGACCCTTTTCGGCATCGATCACCAACCCGAAACCGGTCTTCTTGGCTTGCGGGTACCCGTCGAGCTTCAAGGGCATGGTGCAGGAGACCCGTACAAAGCTGCGCACGATATCCGAAACCGCAGCCTGACTGATTCCGTCGAGTTGAATAAAATCAGCTTTCCTCGGAACCGGAGTTTCAGCTGGCACGGGGTCGGAAAGATCAGAAAAGTCCCAGAGACCGGTCTCGTCGTTACGAATGGCCATTCGCATCTTCGGATGCCAGTGGCGGTCTATGTACACGATGCTGGTACCCCGGGTGTGAAGATCTCGAATGTGACGATACGAGATGACCACCCGAGCCCGATCAGGGATCGTCTTCATTACTTCAATGAACTCGTCTAGATTTCGGGTCGGGCGTTTGTCCACAGCATCAATAATCCATCCCGACAAGGTATTCTCCAACTTGAAAGAGCCTGCTGCTTCGCACACATACACTCCTCGAGCCGCGATGGCATAAAGCCGGGCCTGCTGATAGGACAGATTGTGAAAAGTGCCACCGGCTACCGTCACGAAGCGGTCCGGCGTGATGGCATGCAGATCGCCAACCTCACATTCCACCTCGACATTCTGACCGCCTCTCTGAACCAGCAAACGCACGGTCTTCCCGACACTTGAATCGAGGATATCGTCCAATCGGATGAACTGCGTGAGGAGCTCCCCGTTGACCTGCAGCAGAACATCTCCTTCTTCGAGCTTTCCATCTGCAGGTCCTTCGGGTAATATGATCTCAGCCACCAACATACTGGTCTCATGCGGTGAGGATTTGCGAACAGCAGCCTCCCACTCTGGAGTCAATCCCAAACGACGACACTCATCGAAAGGTTTGAGGATCCACTGTGTCTGAATCGTACCCCGGGCGACAGGTTCACCGCGTCGGATGCACTCCAACGCACGAAGGGGGCGGTCTAGGGGAAGGAAATAGTCCGTGGCCGCACCATCCGCACGACCTCCAGCCTGTAAAGCGATTGCATGACCGTCGATATTGACGACAGGACTGCCGGAACTGCCACCACTGGCGGCTGCTGCGGCCTGGATGTAGTTCGTATTAAAATCACAGTAACCGTCACCATACTCTGGCGCGTTTCTGTCGAGCCGACTGATGACACCAGACAGGATGCTCAGCTTCTCCCCTGCATCGTTACCCACGACTCGAATCTCGCAACCCACACGGGCCGCCTCCGGTCGAAGCTTGAGCTCAGTCAATTCCATGTATCGAATCGCTTTGGGGTCGAATTTCAGAATACCAAAGTCGTGCACGGGATCGCGATAAACAGGACGCACGTCGCACTGGAATAACCCTAATGTCAGCACTGCAACCATGCCCGTATCTTCAAGCCCAGACATCACTCCAACTCACCTCCTCATGATTATCAAATATACAATAACCCCAGAACGGACCCGCGCAAACCACATGGCGATTCGTCAGGATATACCCGCGCTCAGCATCGACCACAAACCCCGTCGCCTGACTACTCATCGACAAGTCCGTATCAAACGAACAAGTCTGGCAGAAATGGATCGACACGACACTCTTGACCACCTTCTCGATGGTAGCCTGCCACTCGGGCGAATCCGCCTGTGCGGGGCCGATAGGCAACACCCGGCCTGTATCCTCCTCATCCTCGACATCGTAGACGGTCCCGTTCGCGGGAGTCGCGTCCCCGGGCGTTAATGTCGAGCTCTCGGGTTTCAGGTGTTTGGCCGGACGCTCTGCGGGGGCGGCGACGGAGCTGCGCTTGCGCTTTGAGCTGGTCTCGCCATTCAGATCCATGCTCTTTCGAGAGTGGGACTGAGGTAGGGACGGACGGGAGCGAGTGAAGGGTGCGAGGGAGGAAAACAATCGGTTGTTTGTCCCGAGATTGCTGCGTATGACAGATGTTGCGACGTCAGTCCACCGCGAGAGAAACCGATGTCGATGCGGCAGTAGACGACCAAACTGCTTGTGTGGCGATTCAGGAGTAACACCGTAGACACTAGGCGATCGTGAACTACTCCAGGAGAAGCGAACAGACTGTGGAGAAATTCGAGGCGTAGAGGCGTAGAGCGATGGGGGCGGCGCGGAGGCGGAAGTAGCAGTAAGATCAGCGATGGTAGTAGCGACCGGCGGGCTCCTTCTGTACAAAGGGAGCAAGACGCAAGACATTCACAAGACACCCCCTCCAAGTCAGCTACTGAGAATAGAAGAGGGGAAGCAAAAGAATGAAAGAGGAGGGTGAGACGAAGGGTTAGTAGGGCGAGGAAGTCAGGCACTCAAACTCCAGAGCTTCCCAAGGTTCTTTTTTTTCGCAGGGCGGACAGCCGCAGCGCAGGCCACTGATTGGACCAGGCCCTGGCCCGACAGTGGCTGGAAGGGGGGATCAAGTGATGATGCGCAGTCATAGTAGTCCTGTCTTCTGACCATTTCAACTGTATACATAGGTCAAGGTAGATCTTGAAGAGAGAGCGACCGAGACAAATTGCAATCAAAGCGGATCGTCGTCCGAATTGAATTGTTGTTCTACCCTGGTCGTCTACATGTGAAACAGCACAAATCCCACGATTACTGTCATGGCAACGTCACATCCGGGAACAGACCCCAAGACGCCTCCTCTCCATGGAGCTCTGTAATATACAACACTTCCTAGTATACAAGTAGATACAAGCCACGAGGATATATGGCATTTCCTTATCCTCGCAAAACCACCTACATACCCAGGGACAGTTGATCAGTTCCAAGGTTCCGCTTCCATATCCACATGGCAGGGAGGAGACTGTGTCGATTGCATCGGAGAGATCCTCAAGTGTCTGTCCATCGCGCTGGTATTATTGAACACAGCTCCAGAGCCTATGGCGGCTCGCGACGACTTGTTGTAGATAAAGAAGGCTAGACGAAACAGATCCCTTGTACTGCCTCTTGGTGGAGACCGAGAGAATGGAAGAGCTGGTGATGGTTACGGAGAGATTGCTCGGGTTCGGTCCTCCCAGTTAATAAACGGTCAAGTGATTATCCGTAGTCTGTCGTCTATCACTGAAAGTCTGGAACCGGATCGCATGTTCGCAGTGTTATCCAGCGTCGCGTGGCGCACCGTTTCTGCGGAAAAGCGTGATCCCCGCCCAGCAATGACCGCTCATGGCCACCCCGGGTCTGTAATCAGCGTAGCGCCGAGCGGATGAAAGCCGATAACCGCGCAGGAGGGCTGTTGACTTTTTCTGTTGCCTTTCGTGTGCTGGCCGATTGCTATCCAAATTTGATCTCAGGCGCGAATGAACCCTATAAATGCCCATCCTCAAACCGCCGACTCGGCCGCGGGGGACGGGCTCGGTTTGCTGTTGCCAGGCGTACCTTTCGGGCTAGGCTGGGGAGTACCCACGGCACCTTTCGACGGCCGGAACAGCTCATTCAACTTGTTGTAGAGATCGTTGACCGCTGGCATGTTGGGAGGCGGCGTCATGATGGCCGGGGCGGTGGGAGCCACACCGCCAGTTTTCTTCGCCCGATCGGCAATAGTCGCCAGATACGCCAAATTGGCCTGGAGACGGCGCATACACTCAACATACTCGAGACTGGGCTTTTGCGTCGGACCCTTGGCCGCGTCGGTCGCCTGGTCGGAAGTTGGTGATGGATTGTTGTCTTGCGATGCTTGTTGATTGGGAGGCCCGCCAGCCTTGCCAGCCGCCTGCAGATTGATGACCTCTTGCAACAAGATGGAGTTGATATCCAAAAGGGTCGAGACACGAGCTTTCTCTCGCGCTGCCGCAGCCGGACTCTGCCCTGCTGCCGGAACGGATCCTTGCTGTTGATTTGGCTGCTGAACAGGGCGTTGTTGTTGTTGCTGTTGCTGTTGCTGTTGTTGCTGCTGTGCTGGAAGCATGCTATTCGCAGAGACCGAAGCCATGTTCTGGGTAAAGTTTTGCGCCGCACTCGGGGACATGTTCGAGGTTGGGGTGCCTTGATGCGGCACGAACTGGCTAAGAGTTGCTGGAACAGGAGGTTGGGTGAAAGCAGCAGAGAAATTCCCGTGGGGTCCTGCAAAGCGGGAAATTGCACATCACGTTAGCGGCTTGCCCAAGAGTCTAAATCGGTCCGTCCGAAGAAGTAGTGCGACTGGGTACTCCGGAGATACTCTCTAAATATGAAACGGGGCAGGGGAGGAGTTCAGGAACGATATTGGGGTAATGGCCCGCACAGGTAGGGCAGGAAAATCATGGCATCCATCAGGCAGTTGGTCTGAAAAAGACAGCCGAATCAAGTTCATTCCAAGCAAAACAAGCTTAAGATAGCAAGTGCAAGTACTTGATCGACAAGACGACAAGACGACCGACGAACCAGGCCAAGGGGACAATGCACCCGACGCAGAGGAAGGACGGCCGGTGAATGGCTGAACGACCCGAAAAGGAAGAAAACAGAAAAAGAAAAGATAAACTAGAAAACAACCATTGGAGATCGCAAGTCAACGTACCAGACGGCTGCTGAGGGAAACCAGACGGCATCATAGCTCCACCGGGACCGCCAGATTGCAGAGGCACGGGACCGAAAGAATGCTGCTGATGCGGTTGTTGGACCGGCGTCTTGGATTGGGGAAATGAGGAGGTGGTGGGCATAGCATTCGGGTAGAAAGCGAACTGCTGTCCGTGTGGACTCTGTGTGGTGACAGGATAGCCTGGGTTGTGGTGCTGCTGCTGTTGCTGCAGAGGAGGATAGCCGGCAGCGTTGGGATCCATTTTTCCTTATTCACAGTGGTCTGGTCCGAACGTAGTACCTTAGTGATTTGACTCCTGGAGAAATTTGCCCCCAGTGTTACGCTCGGCGGTTCTTTCTTCCCGCTCGACCTATATTAATCGCTGGACGAAGGGGGGTTGCGCAAAAAAAGACTTGAAATAAGGAACCGCACGGACGATAGACAGGGCCCCAGTTAGAGCGCCAGAATAATATGCGAAGAAGAAAAACCAGCTTAGCTAAGGTACGCCCCGTAGACAGTTGTCTGACTCGCCGGGGAATCCAGGGATGAGTCGTTAGTGTACGGAGTCAGAGGACAAAAAAGGCCAAGCACAACGGTGATTGGCTCAAAGAAAAAGGTGCTTTCAGGAGTTGGAAATTGGAATAGACCAGGTTAAGGGGTGGAACAGTTGGTTCATGTGGCTAATAGACAGGATCGACTCCGGGGTCTTCTTTCGCTGGGACAAATCGATTCATCGACCACTGGGCTTCGGAACTGGAATTATTCGTCCGCCGAAGTCAGAGCGGTTGCCATTGCAACTGAAGTCTGACAACATGATGCCTTTGACTCGATACGGAGGATAAGAATCGTGTCTGATATATTGAACTGGTCTACAGAAGAGAGAGATTGCGGTAGAGTTACTATACGTAAGACTCATATGGGTAAAATACTTCTCTGTATTTTCCAAAGGACATGGGTACACCGTTACGGCTTACCTAAAAGAGTCAAACTGAGACATCCCAGGTCAATCATCGACTGCAACTATCGTGGATGCAAAGGTAGATGGGCACAAAGGATCTAATAAGTACCTATCACTTCAAGTCCATTGCAAGGTTCTTCCCTTACCTCTCCGAGAAGTGAAACCCTTCCAGAACTTCAACATCCACAGGCCTGCGCCCGACCCGCTATGGTGCGTCTCGGCTACACTGACAGTGACAGCTGATATATGATGGATCATATCTTTCATGCTTCATCAATCATCAATTCGCCATTCCCCAACCATGGCACATAGCCATTAAGAGCTTGACAAAACAGTCTCCTGTTTCCATTTCCTGGACATGATTTCCGACTTCCGAGTGTCTAAATCAGGTAACAATACCACTTGTCTGATCGGTTTTGTTGATCTGTCATTCGAGAAGTCTCCCCAGGCGGGCTGGGCCGATGGAAGGGCTTGCCATCGATGGTCTCCGTTCTCAACATATGTGAATCTAAGACAGCTCATTGCCAGATTGTTGCTGCGGCACGTCAATTAAAGCGATATTGACTCGGTCCCTTCAGATAAGAAGCATATGATGTCCCTGTGATGGGAGAGTTGTACTCACCTGATAAAGTTACAGCATCAGGCCATCTCGACCGCAAAGTCTTGCTTCCATCTGAAGTACTGATTTTGTTAACTTGGGCCATGTAGCGCCCTAACTTTTTGAATCCTTCAGCGCTATATTACGCGTTAACTGCGGATACCACCGGCTCATGCAAGGAGCATTGATCTATGGTCCCGGGATACGAACAGCCCTTATTATGGGAGTATCTCGAAGATTGGACCGTGGAGGACCGGAAATATGACTCCCGAACTATCACAGGTGAGTAGTTCTGCCACCAATTTTTGCGGTCCATCAATGGTTGGTACACCCATCTTTGCCCCATTGGAAAAGAAGCTGTTCGCCAATTCACACCTATGATTGGATATCATGGATTGGACACGGCCGTATTAGGAAGTCCATTATTATAGCAGATCAGCCGCGTCTTCTGCGAGTCGAATGCTTGATCCCGTATTCGCGTGATGCAGGCCGGCGAGGGCAGGTTGATAATTACCAATGTTGTGGGAGCCATCAATGTAACTATTGCTCTCCAACGATTTGTACTTACTCTAAGAAGGTGATGTCAGCTTGATCAATAGGCGACTGTACTCTTGCGAGGTTCGCTGTCTAGTGTCTAGTCAGTTGGCCTCTGGAGATCGTCAGACGCAGAAGAGCGTTAGTTCGTAAGCCCAATGCAGCTGAGGGGGGGCCCTCCTGCGCACCGCTGTGCCGCATTAATGTATACATGGCAATCAGGCAGCCTTGGCCAGGGTAGACTCATGAATGCAATTGATTACGGTTTTGGTCTGAGAGTGCAGGTTGCTTTTTCCGTAGGGTGTTGGCAGGCGCTCTCTAAGCAGAGTTGTTTCGCGCGTATAAAGCAGGCTGGAGCATCACACGACAGCTTCGAAGCCCAGACAAACCTTGTGAACTCCAGTTCGTGGATCTTGTCGTTGCTACGATCTCTTCTGTGCCCGGTTTTCTTGTTGCTCGATAAGACATGTCTTCGGAAAGTAGGTACCACCTGCTCTCTCGCACCTTATTGGCAGTGGGAAACCTGGATCGTTGACTAGCGTTCTCATGTTAGAGGACTCGAAGTTACCATCCTCGACTGGTGACAAATTCGATTATTTGCAGCAGCTGGTACAAATACCGAATATCCGAGAAGCTAGTTTCTTGTTTAAAAAGCTGACTCAAGCTGATGCAGACGCCAGAGTCAACGGATGTCCAGCTCGGGAGTCTCACGAATGGACATTATGCCATCATTTATACTGATCGCAATGGCAAAGTTCGGGTGCAGACTTCCCCTTCAATTGCGAATAGCTGCCAGACCATCCTGTCTCCCATCGTTATGGAGAACTTTCTGGAAGCAGTGGCAATATCAAACAAAAACAGCTTGTTTCCCGGCCCAAGTAAGACCTTCAGATACTCACAACAGAAATCGACTGACGACTGAGGGCTAGACTCCATCCACGAATCAGCTTCGGCCAGATGAAGCAGCCCGCTGTCGCCACAGTCACTTGGGAAAGGAGAGGCCAATGACGTGCCGGACCAGGACGATATAAAGGCGTCGGAGCAAAGAGGCACAGCTGAACAGATGCATACTGATCATGGCCGTCAGGGAAAAAGGAGGAAAGTGTTTCATGAATGCGTAGTGCCACTGAACATCACTTGCCATCAGAAAGCCATGTTGCCGCTCCGAGACAGAAGACTTCTGCGAAAATACTATCAAAAAGCGTTCGAAAGCCTGCAGCAAATCAACTGTCGAACTATCGCTAAAGCATATGTCAAACTTGTCGAGCCCCGAAAGCAAGCCAATTATCCTTATAACGGGCGAAAGCTTATCGCTGGTATCTCTCGACAGCTCGATCCAGAGGTGACAAAGCCAGCCTGGTGGCCACATGGTGTCAAACATAGAGAGCCCGACCATCTTCCCAAAGCGGGTAAGATATAACGAAGTCTTTGTCAGTTTTTCAGAAGCTGATCGTATCAGAGAGAGTTCGATTGCTTGTACACATTCTCTGCGAGCTTCGCGATTGCCGTGGCATCACCGTCGCGAAGCTTAGAGAGGCCGATCAGTCCATCCGCCGTCTGATTTCACCACCGGACTGTCTGGGGGTCCTGGACGAGATCTATCGCGTCCGAGAGGAAGAGGAGAGTTACCTGGACGACCATCTCGGTACGTAGCACTTGACGTTTGGATCAACATAAAAAGAGGCACACTCATCTCTTGACAGACGAACAAGCGGTTGTGTATATCTCTCTAGCACACTTGCCGGATGAGATAGACCCGAAGGATGCTGGTTCTCCCATGGCAGAAGTGATGAACGCAGACGTGAACCCGGTTTACAAGAGAGAGGGTTACGACATGGAGTCCCACACATCGGTCTTTCCGTCAACAGGAGCCTTTTTCACCAGTCATATTGATACAACAAGCGGAAAGGGTGTTCCTGGGATCATGCACGCCAACCCGGATTCCTGTGCCTCCGCATCATTACCGACTCTCAAGATACCGAAAGAGGTCCACGAAGGGGAACATCCGTTCTCTGCAAGCGTTCCAGCGGCTTATACCTTTCACCATGCTCCCCCACCTATCCCGTTGAACTTTCACGCCTTTCCCCTGCGATTTGATCATGAACCGAATGTCAGTCATGGGCAGCAAGATCAGCATGGGCCCGATATGGGCATTGCGGGCCATGGTATGGAGAATTGTCCAAACCCGTACTACTTTAACTTTTGACGTCCGATTCTTGGTGAGGCTGATGAAGCTTCCTTCAAAGTTGACTTTGGGAGGATTTGCTGGTTAGACTTAGGTTGCTGCACGTAAAGCTTGATGTCGGTCCCTGTGGATCATTTGGCGGGCGACTTGATACAAGTCAAAGCGCATATTCTCGTTCATCATTTTACCTCATATAGAGAATTTAATAGTGGTTGAAAGTAGTCAAATCTTAAGAACTGGTTCGAGAAGCTGAAGACATTTTGAAGTAGGAAGAGGACAAGGAGAGTTTTGCTTTGGAAGGGAGGTGACAGAAAATAATGACACCTCCCTAGTTGGCTGCGCACCTGACCTTCCAGAAGTGGTATCTAAAGCTGCCGTTGAGCCCCGCCCTAAGATGCTCGAAGCAAGTCCATCAATTGAGATTCTTTGATAGATGACCTCTTTTGTTTGCAAAGTTGTATATAAGATGTATAAATGTTTCATGAACAAGCCTGGTTTGCGTTTCAGCAGTGAAGCTAATCAAAATTAGGTAGATGTCCGAATGAATTCATTTTGCAAGTGCTGGACTTATTTCAACTAGTTACAAGAAGAGGAAAAAAGCAAACGAATGGATCTGCTAGGACAGTGATCCATTTACAGGCACTGCGAGTACCAGTCATTCTGCTTCTGGCAAGTGGTTCCACTGACACAAGTTGTTGGCCCGGTCCAGCCGCTACCGCCGCACTGTCCCCATTTCTGAGCAACTGCAGCAGAGCTTGCACCTGTTGTAGTCGTGGTCTGCGCGGTGGTGGTCAAGGTAGTGGTCGTTGCGGAGCCGCTTGCTCCCAGGCCCGCCAGCAGGCCATTGTATGCTGGCTTCTTAACATAGTTCTCATCCCAAGGACATGCGGCGCCGTAGCCTGAGAACACGCTGGGAACCCAGGAGTACTTGTCAGTCCAGTCCCAGATGGTGACACCCACACAGCCGGTGGTGCTAACGCATGCTGCGGCCACGCCCTGGAAGTCAGTGGACTGCTGGGCCAGCAGTGCAGCGGTCGAGGGCAGCTGCATGCGGATGTCAAGTTCGGTATAGGCGACCTCGACGCCAAGAGCAGTGAAGCCCTTCAAGACGGTTGTCAGAGCCGATTGGCTCGGAGTGCTGCCGACAATGAAGTGTGCCTGGAGGCCGACGCCATCAATCTTCGCTCCGTAGGCCTTGATCATCTTGACGATGTTCTGCGCAGCAGTCGCTTTGGCGCCGGAGTATTCAATGTTGTAGTCGTTGTAGTAAAGTTTCACGCTAGGATCTGCTGCGGCAGCAGTCGCGAATGCAATGGGAATGTATGCTTCACCGATTGTCTGGTAGAAGATGGAGTCACGGAAGGTACCGTCCTCGTTCAGGGCTAGATTGCCAGGCTTATCAGTTTCAGAAGTCGTATTGAAGGATAGATGGAGCAACCGACCTTCATTGACAACATCCCATGCATAGCACTTCCCCTTGTAGTGAGTGACCACGTTAGTGATATGGTTCTTCATGGCGGCCAAAAGAGTTGCATTGGTCCACGATCCGCTAGAGACTGTCAACCGTTAGAGAGAATTTGAGAATGAACGAGACATCCGCTTACCCCAGCTCGGCAGCTGACTGTGCCAGACCAGATTATGGCATCGCATCATCTGGCCATTCTTGGTCGCCAGATTGACAATGGCGTCTCCATTTGTGAACGAGAAAGAATTCTGAGAAGGCTCGGTGGCATCCCACTGTCCGTCAAAGCAAGCAATTAGCTCCTGACGCAATTGCTCTAGGGAAAAAATGTAAACAAACCTTCATTGAGTTTCCCGGTGTGAGTTGACCGAAGTCGTCGGTGTTGCTCAGTTGAGCGACGTACGCGGTGTCCGTGAGCTCTGGGTTGTCAGTAGCGGAGCCGAAGTACTTTAGTCCTTTGGCTTTGGCTGCTGTGTTCAGGCCAGCTCCATATACGCTAGAGCAATGTCAGAGCTGTTTCTTCTCATGAGGAGTGGGAAACATACAGAGGCAGAGCAGCCAGGGCTGCTGCGATTGAAGACAAATGAACCATCTTGGAAAGTACTTTGAGATACGAATTCAAGAAGGATAGTTGTCTAGTCTAGTCAATCGTAAAAGAATTCCATTGCGCAGGTCTGGATGCCCGTTCTTATACGAACGAAGCCTTCTACAATTCTAGGACAAGGACCAGGCTAAAAAGCCATGGTTCTCAATACTCCGTAGTCCAGATTGATCCAGATCTCTTCAACCGGCGCTAACGTCGTCGACTAATTTCCTCAATATATTCTTCAGGTCAAGGATAATGTGATGGCCGTGTGGCCTGTTCGGGGCGAGGCACCGTGGCAGATTGGTTCAGGAAGGCATTGACCACACTGACTCGTCGCTTTGGGCAGCATGACCGGCGCGAGTTCGGCCAAGAAACAGTAAAGACCCATATTTGTCGAATAGTCTCTAAAGAGATCAAGCAATGATAGCTTTTAGCCTGAAAAATAGACACGAACGCTCATAGGGAGTGACAGCTGACGTATGTCGGTTCACAGTGATTGGGAAGGTGAGTCAGTGAAGATTGTGTAGGGATTGCGATTAATCTATCTTCAACACCAGAGTGACCAGACAGGTTAGTGTTGTTGACAAGGGATTTAGGGTGTTTCAGGGGTCACTTCAAGTGCGACAATCGATGTTTTGACACCCATTTTAATGACTCGAGAGACTTTGATACAAATGTTCTTTGAGTTAAAGAGGTAATCTGGCAAACGCGAAAGCGAACCATGATCAACATTGTAAGAGGAGCAGGTACAAATGGCAAATGCCGACTACCACTCTTCAGCTTCAGTACGTCAAACAAGTAAGCAAGATCCAATAAACCTCCCTTTCTCCAGAAGTGGAGTTCTTCAGGGGATGAAGGAACGGAACTTCCCCGCATTTTGTCCGGATAAATTGGGGCAAAGCAGTGGTTGACCATCCATTCAATTTACTCCTTAGATGAACTGGCTTCCAGTCGGAAACTTAAGAGACATGACTTTCGTCAGTAGCGAACTAACGTAAGCGAAATTCATCTACCTATCTCATCCTATACAGTCATAAAAGTTCGTTACGTAGGAGATTCGGCCCACGATTCCGGCGCCATTCGGCAGTTTGTCCATACAGCCTGAAGAAATACAGCCTGAAGAAATACAGCCTGCAGAACAGCCTATGGCTGTATGTACATCGTTGAATTTATAGGGTATCCCAAGGATATTCAGGGATCGAAGATCCGAGAAATACACGGTAACACGAATCTCTGCGGAGTGCAGAATGTGGAGAACCATGCCTCTTCCCTGGGGTAGACAGATAGCGGGCATTTTGCCCAACGTTGCCTGCCAGGCCACGGTGTGAGCTCAGAAGCATTCAGTCTGACGGACTACTGCACGTGCAATAGCCAGTGCATCCCTGAAGTAAATGCGCCGGTCGACGGAAATTCTAACCGGTATTACTCCTAAGGATCAGCCTTCTTTTCTGGCCTTCATCTCGGCAATGAATTTTGCACTCTTGGAGGTCGGTATCACGTAGATCCTGACAAGCTCGTCGACTACTTCAACCTTGCCCCCGCTAAGGATCTGCAGAAGTGGTAGTTTCTTGCCGACCTTGATCAGTCCCCCTGTCACGGTTTCCATGAAGCAATCAACGCTGTTGATCGTATACTCCTGCTTGGTGTCCCATGGCAATGGGAAGATGTACTCCAGGTGATCTTCAATAGATGTCGTCTCAGAGAACGTTTTAATAAAGTCTGACTGGGCGTCCATGTGGTACAGCAGCACGGTCGGAAACTCAAGGGTACTTTCGGGAGACAAGGGATCGGGAGTCAGCCGAATGTGTGCATCCTCCATGTCCGGCGGTTGCGCTGTCTTGCGAGTCCTGATTTGTCTAGCGCGTAGTGCAGTACTGAGAATCAGCTTTTCCTTCTGTATCCGTTCCTCCTCCGTCTTCTTTCGCGCCGCAATACGCTCCAGAGTTGCCTTGCGATCGGCAATTTTGGCGGCCACTTGTTGTAGCGACTTGTTGTTGGGGTCAAGGGCGAGACCCCGCGAAGCGGCATCTTCGGCCTCCAGAAGCTTGTCGAGGGAATAAAGCGCCATCGCGGAACGATAGAAAGCTTTGATATTGTTCGAGTTGAGCTTGAGAACAGAAGCGCAGTCGAGAGTGGTAGAACGGTAATTTTCTGAGCTAAATTAGCAACTTGTGCCAGGTGTGGCCATAATGCAGTGACGTACTCAGTTCCAGATTGCATAGAGCGCGATTGATGTATGAAGCCTCCTCGACCTGCCGCAGGAGCTTCTCCTCCTCTTTGGGATCCTCTGGTTTATCCCACTTATCGAGTTTAGTTGTCACCACCGCAAGAGCCTTGGTATAGAACTCCTTGGCATCGATCCATCTCTTTTCTTTTGCTGCCTCGTTGCCTTGCTCGCGGTAGCTCTGGGCGACTTCGCCACGGGTACCTTCGTTCTGGAGTGCTTGGATGGCATCGAGCATGGGATTTTCACCATCTATGCAGGCGTGCATCGTCAGTCTTCGTCATGCAAATCGCATCTACCGGTTGGGGAGGATAAGCTTACTTTCGTCGCCCGCCTGATTAATATCCGTCATGAACAGCGGGGTCTTATTCATCATGCTCCAAAGCTCCTCCGAAGTATGCGACTTGACCGACGCCATAGTCGGCGGCAGCTTGGGTGCCCTGGGGTCATTTTCGAGCTCCTTCAATTTCTCTTCGTTGATCGGAAAGGGAGTCTCTTCCACGGCGGGAGAAGGGCCGTCATTGTAAATTTTGCTGGGAGGCACTTCGGTAGCTGGAGGCTGTTCGTTAAGATTGAGACGCTCGTCAAAGTCGTCTGGAAGCTCCTCTATTTGACCCATCGTGCTATCTGTGTTGAATAAACAAATGTTCGATATCTTGATCAAAAAAGTCTCACGAAATCAGTACTGGACAAATGCGACGCAGAACAAACATTGCAAACAAGAGGGGATAGGGTTTGCCCTGCTGGCA